CATTATACATCTTTTTAATATTATTGAATTATATTGCTAATACGCCTAAAATGACATTTTTATAAAACATCCAGTATTTAAATTAGTGATGCGATATACCTAAAATCCTTGAATAACACGTTAAATGGGTGAATTGTTTGGTCTACGTCTTCACACAGTGACTAAACAAATTTAGAAATGCATGACTGTCCCAGCGTGCAAGGCAGCCAGTGGTTTAGGGGGTGACTTGAAGAGACACACTGCGGTGTGCTGGGAACCCGGGGAGGGCAGTCCATTACCTAGAAAACCCACCTCACAGACACTTTGGGCCTAGACCACATCTAACCAAACTCTAACCAGATGAATTTGGTGAGAACCCCATCAAAGTCTGTTCTCATGTCAGGGTTCAATCTGAAACCCCAGTTCAGAAGGTCAATGAATTACAGTGGACTCTTTTCCCCACACCATCCTTTATTGAAGGGCAGAAAAGAACAGCTCTAACCTACAGCCCTCAAGCCCTCCTTCCCTACTTTACGAAAAGCCATCATCAATAAGTAAATGTACTCTAACATCTGTAATATAGTCCTTCCTGCTCTATACTCAGGCACTCTGTAAATTCAGACCCAACCAATACTTTCCTAGCTGATTAGGTCTGTAGCTGGGAAGTTTCCAGCCTCTCCCCTAATGTGAGTTGCTGCCCTCCATTTCAACAACCATCTATCCTTAGCAAGTTTTCACTGTAGGTTAGAATTGGGTATTGTTATGAACATGCTACTCTGAGATCATGTCTAACCTCCCTCCCACCTTGAAGCAGATTTCTGTCCCTTAAGTCTTATATATGCAGACACTCTGGAGTTGCCCCTGCCTCTATATTGGTACAAGAAGAAATTCCTCTTTATCAAATACAGATCCTTTGCCTGTGAAAAACCTTAACTGACTGGTATTGATGATTACCTTTCTCCTCTGGGAGTATGCAGAATACCTTCCAGCACTACGAATGCTAGCCAGTAGGGGTGAGGCTTCTAGCTGGGCACCTGCTCAGTTTTTCCATGTTCAATTACAGAAGTGACATCTTCAGCAATAGGGCCTAACCTTCAGGTTGTGGAGGGTAACCAAAGCCTTTGCAATAGCTTGTGATGTTTAGGGAGTCTATAGGACCCATTTGGCCAATGACTCAACAAGATTTCTAGCATTGGGCGCGGAGGGTGGAGTGTACTTGGTTGCATTAGATATCTAGTTAGGGCATTGTCTCCTGCATTATATGATGACTCCACTTAAATTCGTTTTTAATATGTATATATTTGTGAAGTGTCTGTTATAGTAGGCTTCCATACAGATTTTCAAAAGGCCTTTGGTGTTAGTTGTTCCTCCACATGTTCTTACCTTTAACCTGTCTTCCAATTTAATCCTCCTATTCTAGTTTCTCCTTTATTTATCTTAAAATATTCTATCTCCTACTGGAGAAGGAAAGTAATCAACAAGATATATTGGTACAGTAGTGGCATAAATGTTAGGGAGTAAACAATTACTTTTTAAAAATTGGATTTAAAGTCTACTTTATGAAATGGAACCCATATAACACTGCTGAAGTGGCCAAGAACCTGAGTTGGATATATCATGGGACCTAGGGGGGCACCTAATACTATTATTCTGCTAAAATAGCAAAGCAATAAGATTATTCCTAAAGATATATTGCTATATTCATAAATCAGCACATTGCTTGACCCTCATCAGAGAAACTTCCTGTAGTAGATGATAATTAACACAGGGACCCAAAACTATACAACCTGCAGAAAGTGAGAAATTTTGGAGCACTCAGCTCTAAATGGGATTTCTTTATCAAACGCCTCCCCTCAAAGTTTGGAGGTCTTTGTGGAAGGGGAATCAAAAAGATTGTAAAAGTCAGACGTAGGTGACTCCAAAGAAATAGCATCTTCCAGAAACAACAGGGCTGATACACATAATGATACAGAGACTTGACTGCATGTGCAGGACTGGTACAAGTTCAAACCAGACAGAATCCCAGGATGGAGGGGGGGAAATAGACGCAAAGTGCCAGCTCTGACCAAGAAGCTCTTTGAAATTGTTACCTGCTGGGGAAGGGAAAAGTCAGTTTTCTACAGTGCAGTGTCAGTGGGTAATCAGCCACACTCCAGGGCCGTCCCCACACCCAGGAATAACATGTCAGGATAACACAAATTAACTCCATGGTTCTTTTTGTACTTTTTGCTTTGTTTTTACTTTTGTCTTAGTTTTTGGAAAAATAGAAAGAAGATAAAGTTGGGTATGTAGGGAGGCAAGGGGGATTTATTGAGGGAGGGTAAAGATTATGATCAAAATATATTATATGAAAAAAATTAAGTTTTTCTTTTTCTAAGCCATGGTCTCATTATCCTTGGCTAGCCTGGATATGTACAGCAGCCTGGACTTGAACTCACAAAGATCTACCTGCCTCTGCCTCTCAAGTACTAGGATTAAAGATGTTCACCAAAACACCTGGATGATGCCTATATTCTCAAAGAAAGACTGACAAAATAGAATAAATACTATTTAAGAAAAAATAGTCATTAATGTTTGGTTTAAACAATTTTTTATTTTAATAATAATTCTGTCCTTAACAATTCACTACAAAATATTAAAAATATAATTTTGTAAATAATAAAATCATTCATCTTCTGTAATCACCACCCAGCAAAAGCTCTTTTTACTATCCGGAATTAAAATACATTCTTTTCTTTGTACATTTAGGTTTATTTTTGTTTGTTCTGTGTGTATATGTGTGTGTCACGCACACACACACACATGCATGCATGCATGCCACAATGCACACATGAAGGTCAGATGTCACACAAGAGTTAACTCTCTTCTTCCCCCATGTATGTCCCAGGGAACTGAACTTGTCACCAGGTTTGGAAACAAAGGGCTTAACCTGCTGAACCATCTCCCCAGTCCTAAAATATATTCTTATATTGTCATTGCTTGCATGTATTGCCTAACACAGATAAAACGAGAATACTGGAAAATCTTATTTTGGCAATGGCCTCTGAAAAAAAAAAGGGTCGCAGAAAAATCTCAGCTGCTACTGTGTTATTAGGTGGGGTGAGCCAGAGCAGCAAGGTGGAAATTCAAAGGAGTGAGGGCCAGTCTCTGCGGGATTCACTGCCACCTCAGTCACCTCCAGAGCCGGGGGAGCTACTTTCTAGGTTCCTTTGCAAATCAGTTTTGCTTAATATATCCGGGACAAGCAAAGGAGAAGTCTTAACACTGGATCTGTGTACCTTATGATCTTGTGTTTCCTCAGCAGGCATTTCCTGGCCTTATCTCTAGTTCTGGATCTTCCAAGAAAATCTTTCAACATCTCACATCCAATGGCAATGGGAGTGGTCAGAAATGCAAGATGAGAAATACATTGTGAGGGATTAGGTTAAAGGAATGTTGGGTGGATCTATGCAAAACTGCTTTCAGCCCTTGCAGAACTGGTTGCCTTGGTAACAGCTGGTGTATAGGAGACATAAGCACATGAGGCAGAGATTACCTGAGGAATCTCACTGATGTATGATACAGGTTCTTAGTCAGGCCTCCTGTGATAAAGGGCCTCTACGATGCACATGGCTCCTCCATTTTTGTGTGTGAGAGAGATGAATCTCCTCACAGGCGGCTCGAGGTACATATCTATTTAGTCAGGGTCCTCTCCAGGTTTGTGGGTGAACAATCTCTAAAAAGACTTGAGTAGGAAAAGTTACAGTCTCAACCATCACCAATCTCACATTGAAATGTTTTCTCAGCTACACATTCCAGGGTTTTCCCAACATTGGTTGTCTTAGTTTATGGCTGGAGTTGCCAGGACTTTGAGTCTAAGTCCGTCATTGCCTTGCGATTGTCAGGCCACGGTTACCGCAACTGCTCCAAAACCTCTGTCCTTAGGTACAAGGACCGACGATTCCAAGGCACCCCTGGGATCCACATATTCTCCCTCCCTCATCACCTCATGCTCCTCTAATTTCTTTGTAGCATGTGGACCAATTACTCTCATCCTGCCCTGTGCAGTAAATCTGTTCTTTGATTACTGGCTAAAAGGACTAAATAGACCCCATTCCCTCAACCTGCCCATTCATTGCAGTTCTTGCTATTTTACTTCTTAGAGACAAACCCGCCCTCTCCCATCCTAAACCCTCCAGACCTACTAGCATAAGGATATGAAAAACAAATTGTGCAAACCAGTCATGAGGAGTCTTCGTGGGAGGTACCATTGATCCATTGATGAGCAATCCAGGTTGATTCCCGATCGTAACATGTATGACTAGTGCTACCATAAGAATGGACATGTAACTATCGCTGGTTTTTTTTTAAGACTTTGATTTTTTTTATTTATAAGTATATGTTTGTATGTTCATGTGCATATGCCCACATGTATGTGCACATGCATTTGGGTATCCAAGGAAGCCAGGAAGAAGACATCAGATCCCCTGGAGCTGGAGTTACAGGCAGTCATAAGCTGCCCCACATGGGCACTAGGAATTGAAATAGGATCCTATGTAAGAGCAGCAAACGCTCTTAAACACTAAGCCATCTCTTTGACCCTGGTAAGTATCTCTTTGATAGAATAATTTCATCTCCTTTGGACATACACACTCAGCAGTGGGACTGTGGGATCCAGTAATAGATCTGTTTTTAGTTTTAAGAAATCCCATACTGTTTCCACGAAGCCTGTACTAATCTGCATTCCCATCAACAGAATACAAAAGTGAATCTAACACGTTATTCTTGATGACAGTCATTCTAATTAATTTACACTTTCCTGGTGATTCCTGCATCTGCTGCTTGGCCTCCACAGACTTCTCTGAAGAAGTGTCTATTCAGATTTGGCCCATTTTTTTATTGGATTACTTCCTTTTCAGCATAATTTTCTTTCTAATGTTTTTCTTAATTAGCATAGTCCCATGACTTCACATTTGCCCTTTTGGATAGGAAACACCTAACCCCAAAGGAAATAAATGCAGCTTATGAAACAAGTAAGTGCCCACACCACAGATGAAATAAGACTTAACTTTCCAGTAATAAAATACCAGTAGCTTCTGCATAGCACAAGAGAGAGAGAGTCGGCGAGAGGGCAGGAGGCAGGGCAGAGAGCTCTGGGTCTCCTATTGTACTGAAGCCTGCTCCTAGAAAAGCACTCTCCAGATGCAGATGGACACTGGAAGCAGCAGGATGTCTCCTGCCTCCTCTCTCCCCACGGTCATCATTTTCCTTCTCGTTTCTGGAGGTAAGAACTACTTCTGTATGCTTTTGTCCTTTTGCTCGTGAGAAAATAGAACTCTATATTGGTTAAAATTATGTTAAATGTTATATGAAAGGGAAAAGAAAATAATAATGCCCCAATCATTTTTAATGCACCCTTTGTCTTTGCTATCTAAAAGGCACAGCTTTAGATAGACAGACAGACAGACAGACAGACAGATAGATGTGTCATAAGTGTCTGAGGCCATAATATCAAAGCACCAGCCACATCTAGTGACTCTTACGAATCCAGACCTCTACCAAGTAAGGTGTTTAATTGAAAAACTGCCATTAAAGTAGGAATGTACAGACTGCATTAACTGACCTGCCAATTATGTAAGTACAACTGAATGCTCTCAGGTAGGTCTTACAACGTTTAGGTTCAAGATTTTGCTTGTAGCTACATTCATGCCCAGTAGTGAGATGATGAAGAAAATAACAGTATTAGTTTAAAATAATCTTAACTTCATATACACATGTATGCACACATGCACACACACATGCATACATATGAATACACATGAACAAATGCCTGTCCTTAATAAAACTCATAAAAAATAACAGTATATTAACTGGCTCACAGACACTGGCTCATGAACACTAAGATTGAGCATCTTCGTGTCTGTGATGTCATCATCTCCGTTTCACACTTGGGAAACCAAGACCAGAAAGGTTCCCAAATGACCTGAACACACAGCTGGTTAGTAGAAGTGCTGGGCTTAAGCTTTGATTTCAGGTTCGATCACACCTTCAGAACTGGAACACTGGCACAGGATCTGAGCACCTGTTCAAGGCCGTGCTTAGACAACAGAAAGTCCGTGGCTGTCCTAAAGTTATATGTAAAAATTTAAATTGCATGTGTATGTCTTGTTCTATTAGATTCTCATAGCTCGGTAAGAAAAATGTTAAAAGAAAGAAAAGACTATGTAAGAAGCCCAGACTGGAGGGGACTGTGCTTCTCAACGGGAAAATATGGCCTGCACTGTATGGGACTGTGTTAGGACAATGCTTTGACATTGTTGTTGGTGTGAACTTGGGTGTTTAAACTTCATTCTTATCGACCTGGGAAAATAACCCCATCTTCCATTGTAATTAACATTATGAGTCAGTTACGAGTGGGTGCCTGAGAGTCATGGATGCCCCATTATTACTGTCACTATAGCTTCTGAATGTTTTCTTTACTTTTAATATGTTTACTAAAACTGCCACTACAGATAATAAACTTGTTATAGTGTGAGTTTTTAAAGGCCAATACCCCAGTGTCCCTTCTGTAGGGGGCGCCAATGCCCAGAAAAGAGACTTCCTCCCCACTCTAACCTCCCTGCACCCTGAGCTTTATAAAATCGCCTGACATTTCCCACCTACATTTTGAATAGGTGATTTGAACTCTGCTAGGGAAGAATTCAAGATGCAGTTATGCAGAGAGATCAGGAAAAACTGCAGAAGCTGGGGTAAACGCAACCAGAACAATGAAAAGAATAGCAACAGGCTAAGTTGGACTTTGGTGAAAAAAAAAAAAAAAAAATATATATATATATATATATATATATATATATATATACCTATTAAAATGTTAAAGTCTGAAAGCATATTAAAGTTGGGCCTCAAAAGCGTTTAAATGAAGATGACCAACAAGCCCAATTAGACATCACTCCGTGGGTGCCCATTTCCTTCTCAAGATCCCCTGCTCTCTGCCTTTTGCTTAGCTGATTTGAAACCTCCTTTAGCCTCACCTGAAATCTTATGTACCTTTAAACCTCCTTCAAGAAGACTTAGCAGCTCCTGTCTCTGAGACCCTGCAGCTCCTCGCTGATACCGGGGCCAGACACTCCCGAGTTCTGTCACCCTTTGTGGATGGCACACAGCACCAGCCTTGCCTGTCCTCCTTCCTAGTGCTATGGTCTTGGGTGGAGAGAATTGTGTTCCATTCACTTCTGTTTTAATAGCAGATGCTTAAAAAACAGTTGTGAAAAGATTAAATGATTGTACATTGATTAGAAATTAATTCTAATCCTCAGTTAGTGCAACAATGAAGACTGGGAACCGTTGAGAGAGCTTGCACAGTTAAGTCCTGCACAGGACCCAGGTTCAGTTCCCACCACCCACATGGTGGTTCACTACCATTAAAACTTCAGTTCCTGGGGATCCAGTGCTTCCTCCTGGCCTCCACAGACATACATGCAGGCTAAACACTCATACACATAAAGAAGTCTAACATGAGACTCAGAAAACCAAATCTGAACTTCTTTATAGGCAGATTAACACAACAAATACCTTTTCCTGTCCAAGCATTAAAATGCTACAGGGTTTTTTTTATTTATTTATTTGTTTGTTTTTACTTACATGGGTTCGTATTTTACTAATAATAGATTTTTTTAAATCTGTGACAATTCAAGAAGGCTCTCAGTATCTTTGCTTCTGCACAAGAGAGTAGAGAATTAGTTTCCATGGAAACTGTGTAGCAGAAAGTTTGTTTGAGGCTAGAGCCAAGTCCTGGGAGGTTCAATCAAGGATGCTGCCGATCAGTCTTCCTTACTCCCTTCCAGCTCTCCAGCTTCTGGCCACTTGGTGATCTGGGATGTCTACCATGTATCAAATGACTCTCTGTGAGATGCCATCTGCTGGTGATGACAGGCCACAGTGTCACAGCGTCACAATTAGGATCAATCTCCTCTTTCCTAGACAAATCCACAGTCCTCTGCTGCTCAGAGGACCACCTGCATCACAATCAAGATGCTCATTTAACACATTAGTTTCCTGGTCCCAAACCATCCCCTCAATTGGGTATATGGATTATATCATTTAGATATGGGCTATAAGTTATTACTGTGACAATAAAGTCTGAGACCTATCACGCAGAAAGAAACACATTCTACATATTTGTCATTTAATCATAATGAGAAAAAAAGGATAATAAAAGAAGTGGCAAGAAGAGAAGGGTAAAAAGAATAAACACGTACCAAGAAGTGGAAAGAAGAGAAAACAGGGTAGGGAGAAACAGGAAAGAGAGGGGGGAAAGAGACAGAGAGCATCAATTTAGGCACCTGGCATAAAAGGTCAAAGTAGGAATGTTTGCTTATAATAAAATTTAAAGCTAAACTCAAGTCTGACATGGTACATGACTGCAATCCTAGCATTTGGGAGGCAGAGGTAGGAGACAACCTACCAAGTTTGAGGTAACCTGGGCTACATGAGACCAAAACAAACAAACAAAACAAAACCAAAAGCCAAGGACTCAGCTGAGTTGGAGCCAGTGCTGTGAAGAGTGTGTGTGTGTGTGTGTGTGTGTGTGTGTGTGTGTGTGTGGCTGGGAACACAGCCATGGGGCAAATGCTCCAACAGCAAGCACTAGCCAGAGCCTGGGAGCTTGATCTACTCTGTTCCCTGGCATGGGACACACAGCTAAGAATTTGCAGTGTAATTTTTTTTTCAGCCAAATTTTCCTGGGGTAAAGGATGATTACATAAGTAAGGATTTCACTCTCTATCAATCTCTTAGCTTTTCCAGAATCCTGTAAGGGGATTATAGGAGGAAATGAGGTCCCATCCCACGCCAGACGCTACATGGCTCTCATCAAAGGGCTGGAAATCTGTGCGGGGGCTTTGATCAACGAAAAGTGGGTCCTGACTGCTGCTCACTGTGACCTGTAAGTCTTCCCAGCTCCGCTCACTCCCAGTGCTGACTCAGAGCTACCCAGTCCAAGGCCACAATTAGTGTGGAATGGAGAAAAAAGTGGGTACACAGAAGCAACATCATATCCTGTTGTGATATTCGCCTCACAAACAAGGGCCAGATAGTATAAGACTAAAATGCACAATACTAATATAAATAACAGTGTTAGAACTGGAAAAGGCAGGGACACAGCAGCACCCAGTTAACTCACCCGATCTGATCACTTGCACACAATCTCTGTCAGCATTCAGCTCCCTGTCGGTTCATAGGCATCTATACACAATCAATGTCAATCACAGTGAGTGTGTCCTATGGTGACAGCTCATTTGTTCCCTGTCACTGGTCTTTTCCACCTTAATAGGGCATTTTAGAGTGATCCTAGGAAATTACTACTCCTTGATATGTGAAGAAAATACTAGTGCCCTATAACTTTCACTAACGGTTTGAGTCATTATTTTCAAGACAGAGTCATATTTATCATGAGGAACTACTGTTCTTTTACTGATTCCTGTTGCTGATAAGCACTTCCTGATATTCCCTGTTCACTCTAGCACAAATTGCCTGAAGCAAAGATTCAGCTTAAAGTTATATATGAAGTTGTGCTGTGGTATGAGATAAAATTTGTCAAGTAAAAGCATCAGCATAATTTATGCAAACAAGAAAGCTAGACACTGACAAATTCATTAACTGACAGGACTAAATGATAACAAGTTGACCCAACAAGTTGGGATACAGTTTTTCTCATCTTTCATTGGTTCATGAACTAGATTAGGAGTTAGCTCCAGTTCTGTTTGCTTCTGTGTTTGTGTTTGGTTGGAGGAGGTGAGTCTCTGTGTGGGTCTATGTACGTGTCCATACGTGAGGCAGTAGGGTTGGGTGGGGTGAGAAGAGTGGGGTGTGTGTGTGTGTGTGTGTGTGTGTGTGTGTGTGTGTATAGGAGGGATGTCCATGTTCGTCTGCATGTGGGTATGAAATTCTTAGTTCCACAGTTTCACTGAAAAAGCATCTCTTCCTTCAGGCTCCTAAAAGCAAGCCTTGGGCCACCTTTCCTATTTTGAATACAACAGTAAGGTTCACTATTTTTCTGGAGAACACAAAGGCCAGCCCACGCTATGCCTTTGGGTTGGCTCTTTCCACTGGGTGTCATCCACCCAGAAGGCCATTACAGACTTTGCTGCACAAATCCGAAGCAGCTGAAGTCATGGGAAGTTCCTCCGTTACTCCAGCAGAGCCCAGGTCCTCCAGCCCAGCCATCCAGGGCCACAGTGCCTGTCCAGAGATGCCCTGCTCCCTACCTCTCCAGGTTGTCCCAACTCAATTTTTTTTTCCTAAGTCAGGGACTCCCTGGTTGCTTTCTCCTTGAAAAGACGTGAGCAACCAGACTACATCCTAACACATGTGGGAGTCTTAGGTAGAAGACACCAAAACACCAAAAAGAGTTCTATAAGCTCTGGCCCCATTTTGTGCCAGCTGCAAACAGAGGACATTAAACCCGGAGCTGAGCTGACTCTATTCTCTCACTTAAATGTTGCATGATTTTCTTTTCAGGAGAGGCAAGCCTCAAGTTATCCTTGGTGCCCACTCTGTAGCTCAGAAAGAGAAACTTGAACAGACATTTTCCATTAAAAGGGCAATTTCCTACCCATGCTATGACCCTGAGACATTTCAAGGAGATCTTCAACTCCTTCAGGTAAATATGCTTGGATTTTTTTTTGTCTTTCTCTTATAACTTGTAGTAAACAGACAGTGGAACCTGAAACCAACTGCTACATGAGTAAGTGTGAGCAGGCACACACACCACAAACCAGTCCTCACGAACTGGATTCCAAATGTGAGGCTCCTCAGGATCCAGCACTTGGCCACTGGTGTTCCTTCAACTCAGCAGTTTCTCACAAATTGTTACCATTGCAGCACCAGGCTGTCTACAGTGTTGATGTTCATCCACCAAAGGCCACCAGGAGTCCCCCACAGTGAGACAGGTCTATGCTGACACTCAACAGGGGAGATGGCTTCTCTGGGAAACCACTGGGGTAGACTCCGTGAGAGGACAAGCAGGCGGCCCTCCAGCTTGGCCTGGCAACCTGGTAGAGATCTGAGGAGCTGAGAGTCTGCTCTGAATGGAGTGTTGTCAGCAAGTAGGCTAGCTCCAGGATGAAGCTTCTTTACAGTCTCACCTAGGAAGCAGAAGGGAAAAAGCCAGTGTTGTGATTGTAAGGACACCACCGCTGTGAATTTTAACCAGTGGTCTTTGATTATTTTGGGGATGGGACAATGACATCAGTTTTGTCCCGACCTCAAACTTGACTACAGAGCCACCCTGTGGTTGTTCCCTTCATTGGGCCCGCCTTATCTGGTACTGACCGTCTGTGAGGAAGCTGAGAGCTACCAGGAGGGTGGAGGCCCCCGCTCAGTGGTGAGTGCTGTCTGCCTACCTCTTTTACAGAAGACATGTTGTAAGTGGGACTTCCCCTGAAGGTATTCAGTCCCCAGAGAGGCAGACAGATAAAGTACTGGCTCTGAGCTGACAGTGTTCTGTTTATCCACAACCAAGATAACATGGGAGCACCAGGGAAGAGCAGAAGGTCAGGGAATCCTGCTGGGGTGCCAGGAATAGCTTGGAGGAAGAGGAAAGAAGAGGAGTCGGGATGAGATTTGAAATTGAGGGGGAAAGCGGGACGCAGACTACAAAGGTGGGCTTTGTGCACCTTGGCTAGAATTCGAACATTTAGGGAAGTGATTTAAGCAGGATGTGGCCAGGCTCATTAAGGGTGATGTAGAATGTAGGATGGAGCAAGACAGGACCAGAAGAGTGTGACTGGAAAAAGGGCTCACAGTTTCTCACAAAACTACAAGCATTGATGGTGAACTTCATAGCAAGAATAAGACTGAGCTCAGGAGTTCTGAATCTTTCCCCCTGGGGTAACGAGAGAGAGTCACAAGCCTCTGACAGGACCTTCACCTTCCTTGTCCCCATTCTTCCAGCATAATTCCTCTCACTATTTTCCTAGAGATCACCAGCCCTGGCTTTCCCTGGGTCGCCTCTCAGCCCAATGCTAATTCCTGCCTTGCTTCCTGGATGGTGAAAAGTCGCTCCATCCCCACCCCTTGGTACTCCCTTGGTTACACTTCAGGTTGTGTTTCTTCCTCTGCCTGCTGATGTTCACGAGGCCATAAGCAACTCTGTGTTTTCAGCTGGATGGTAAAGCAGCTATCACCAAAGCGGTGGGAATCCTTCACCTCCCGAAAAGAGGCGAGGATGTGAAACCCCACACCAAGTGTCATGTGGCTGGATGGGGGAGTACCAAAAGAGATTCTTGCAAGGTTTCCAACATCTTGAGAGAAGCCAATGTCACCGTGATCGACCGAAGAGTCTGCAACGACCCAAAGCATTACGCTTTCCAACAGTTGGTGGACAACAGCATGCTCTGTGCAGGCGGCAGGAAAGGGGAAGATGATTCGTGCAGTGTACGTAAATTAAACTATCTAACTGTCCTTTGACTCTGGGGAATGAAAGGTGTAGAGGGATCTTCTAGAAAGACCATGGTGAACAGTGTCTTTCCTTTTTATGTCTAAGGACCCCTGCTTGTCCCTTGGGTGGTGGCACCATTATGCATTCCTCGATAGACCCCCTCGGGGAGTGGTCTCTATTTTCTAATGGTCATTTTCAGTAAATGGTCAGAAATAAGGTGAAATGAGAACTTACAAATTTCTGCAAAAAAAAAAAAATAACCTAAACATTGTATGAGATATCAAAAACTGCCCTTCTGTCTAAGATGATTTAGTGTCCTCCTTAGAAAAGGGCATATTTGGGACCCCAGAGCAAGCTTTCTAATTGTTCCTACATATGACTTCCTCTGACATACTGGTCAAGAGAGAAAACATATAATTTTTAAAAAATTTTTTTAAAAGAGACAACAATGTAAATCAGTGGGTAAAGGTGCTTGCTGCCACATCTGAATTTGATCCCCAGATTCCACATAGAAGAGAGAATCAGCTCACACGAGTTGTCCTCTGACCTCCACACTGTGGCATAGGAACATATATGCATATATACAGAGAGACGGGGACAGGGAGCACAGGGAGCGAGAGATGGATATAATGATAATTGTTGATTATCATTAATTATTAATATCAATAATTATTATTATTTCATTTTAGAAGAGGGCACAAGTCAATGAAAGGAGACTTGCATTCTCTTCTTGTCTTACTGATAGAAGTGGTTCTGCACTGTTGCAGAGCCGCTCTTGAGAAAGGCGAGCGACTGGAAAACATAGATGCCCATGAACCAAAAAGTCCACGCATGGAGGCTAAGGGCTGACAAGCGAGGGAGAAGACTTTTGTTTTGTTTTTCAATTTGAGAATGTCTTCTACTTGATTTTTTTCTCATTCTGCTGTGAAGAATAATGGGTTTCATCAAGAAATTTTCGTTCACACACAGACCCACACATGCACACGCGCGCACACACACACACGTACCTTGTACTGGTCATACATACTGTGTTGCCCTCTCTGTTCTCCCCCACCTGCCTGCCATTCCCCCTCCTCTTTCAAACTCTCCTCTCCTAACCATCATGCTATCCCATTCCTTTGATTTAGTTTTTGTTTCTGAGACAGGGACTTACATTATAGCCCAGGCTAGCCTGAAACTCACAATAATCCTCCTGCCTCAGCCTCTCATTCTCAATTTTAATCTAGTTTCTACATATAAGAAAAAATGTACTATTTGTCTTTCTGAGTTTTGTTTATCATCCCATGATTATTTCTAGTTAAAGGAAATTTAAAATTTGCTTTTAAATCAGGAAAGAGAAATAAAAGGGATGGATGGATGGATGGATGGATGGATGGATGGATGGATGGATGGATGGATGGATGGATGGATAACGTTATTAGTAAGTATCTTGGAAAAGCACCATATTTAAAACACATGCCTTTGTGTTCCAGGGGGATTCTGGAAGCCCTCTGATATGTGATAACATTTTCAGGGGTGTCACTTCCTTTGGGAAATGTGGTGACCCCAAGAAGCCTGGTGTCTACATTCTTCTCACAAACAAATATCTCAACTGGATACAGAAAACCATTGCAGGAGTTATGTAACACCGTTCCTTCAAAGCAGACCCCCGAGGTTACAACTGGAAGAGATCAAGCAAAGCGGTCTGAAACTTGACTTATCCCAAGAAGCACTTCTTCCTAACTGTGCCAGCCATGGCCTGTCTGGCATGATCACCAGTCACCAGCTTGCACTGCCCTGCTGGTCACTAAGACTGCAGCTTAGCATTTAACTCTTTCTGTGGGAAGAGAGAACTGTAAAAAGAGGGTCAGGCTGATGCTTTCTGTGTGTCAATTAAAAAAAACCAGTAGTCCTGGGGAAAACTAAAATATTCTTCACTCTCCCAAATATAACTCTCAAATACCTATGGCACTTAGAGTGTGGTGTGTGTGTGTGTGTGTGTGTGTGTGTGTGTGTGTGTGTGTGTATACGTGTGTGTGTGAACTTTTATTGAAAATAGATTCTTCTCTCATACAATAGACCCAACCAGAGTATCCCCTCCCCCCACTCCTCCTTGCTCCTCCCCACTTCCCCTCTCCCCGGACCCATACCTCCCTCCACATCCTCTTCAGAAGAGAGCTGGCTTCCAAGAGACAACAGCTACAGAGGACAACACAAGATACAATAAGACAAGCCAAGAGCCCTCATATTTGGGCTGGACAAGGCAACTCAATAGGAGGAAAAGAGTCTCAAGAGCAGGCAAAAGAGTTAGACACACCCATTTCCAGTGTTAGAAGCTCCACAAGAATACCAAGCTAGCAGCCACAGCATACGCACAGAAGACCTGGTGTAGACCCACACAGCCCCTGTCCTTGCCTTTTCAGTCTCTGTGAGCCTAAATGCACTCTGCTTAGTTGATTCAGTGGGCCGTGTTCTCCTCGTGGCTTCCATCCCTCTGACTCCTACAGTTTTTCCTCACCCTCTTCTGTGGAGTTCCCCAATCTCCAGGGGCAGGAACGCAATGGAATCTACCAATTTAGACTTTCTCTCTACATAATGGGTCTCTGCACCCACTCCTATCTGCCAGATCAAGCCTCTCTGATGATGAATGGACAAGGCCCTGATCTATGAGTATAGCAGAATATCATTAGAAATAATCTCATTGATTTTATATTTCATTTCATTTCATTACCTGTCGTGTTTGGCCCTATCCTAGGTCTCTGGACTATTCAGTCTCCAGTTTCTTGCCATCCAGACAGTGTAGGGCATGGGCTCCCTCTAGTGGGGTGAGCCTCAAATTAAACCAAAACATTGGTTGTCCAAGCCCACATATTCTGGGACACCTTAGCCCCAGCACATCTTGCAGGAAGGACAGACTGTAGGTGGAGAGTTTTGAGCCTGGGTTGGTGTCGGGTTTCTCTTTCCATAACCTGCACAGTACCTTATCACACCAAAGAGACTAGAATGTAGGAGTGAGGGCTCCATGCCTGCACCAGCTCAAACTCTCTGTGGTCAATGACCTAGGTGAAAGTTGTGGACAATGCACTCCCCTCCCCCATCAGTTTTCAGAGGGCAATCGTCTGTCCTAGCACCAGCCTGGGTTGTTTAGAGATCTCCATGGGACCTCCTCAGTCAGCAACTTAATCAAATATATCCCAGACCCACCACTGGAAGCCTTACCAGCTACAAAAGAGGGCCAGTTTCAGACTCTGTATCTGCCATTACTAGAAGTCCTGACTAGGGTCACCCTCACAGATTCCTGGAACTTTCCACTGAACTTGGTCTTCACACTGCTCCCAAAAACCCTCCAATTCCAGATGTCTCTCTCTACCACTCTCTCCCCACCCCCCAAAATCCAGCCACTTCCCAACCTCACTTGAACATCAAGCAGCCCCCTCCCCTGGCCCCCAGATCTTCCCTCTTAAACCTGTTTCAACCCTGGGTTTTCCATTTCTAGAAAACTCCCCTAGATAGCTAACGTCAGCCTCCTTCAAAATACTCTGTGATGTCAGAGTAAACCTCACCCCTCAGACAAGTTTGCTGCCCCCTTACCTTGACCTGTATATGTATGTGTATGTTCTGTATATGTATATATACATATATACGTTCTCCTAGCCTGTTATCTTGGTAATAATGTCACTCCCCACTAGTGTATAAGTTCCATGAAGACAGGACAGGAACTGGCGTATTTTTCAGCAGCTATATGTTCAATACATGAGTGAAATGAAGCTCAACTGCTGTCCTGTTAACAAAGGACTACCTACCAAACTCTCTGAATATCTAATCATCTTTATCCAAAAAATAATCCTGGCCCCCAACTTCTAACATCAGAGTAGAGATTTTCCTAGTGATGGTTGCTTTTGTATAACCACCCCGCCATGCATGCCGTTGCCTTTATATAACCACCCCGCCATGCAT